TCTCTCTCACGATAACTGATTAACACTTGTATTCACACAACAGGTTTCGCTCCATCATCGAAGTGGTGGACGACTTCCGTACGATAGCGTTGGGCCAAATGCGTGTCCACTACCGGTCGTACATGGAGTCGGGCCAACTCGGCCGCGTGGAACTGTTGCCCATATCGTGGCACCAGGCACTGCACGGCGACGAGACCGGCATAGATGATAGGTTAAGGCAGATCACCCTGGACAGTATACCCAAGTTGAGGCACTTTTCCAACGATACCATTTTGGACGCCCTGTTCTATACGAGTCCCGTCTATTGTCAGACTATTGTGGACAGTGTGGCCCGAGAGATGAACCGCCTGTTTGATCTGTTTTGTACCAGGTACGTTCCCATGTTATGCTGTGTTAATACAGTCTACACCCAGTGGTATAATAGTGATGTGTTTTATAGTTAGTGTTTTTTAGGATTTGTTTATTAAGCTAGTTTAGTTGTGACAATTTAATGTAGTGTTTATTGTTAGCTGGGTTAGTTAATACGGTTTGCTATATGGTTAATTATAGTGCAGTAAAGACCTTTCGGGCAAAACTACTCGGTGTAAAACTACTCGGTGTAAAACTACTCGGTGTAAAACTACTCGGTGTAAAACTACTCGGTGTAAAACTACTCGGTGTAAAACTACTCGGGCAAATATTAATTGCCGATTAATTTTATTACTATTTATTAGTATTTTATAAACTACTTTAGATTTAATATACATTTTATATTAAATAATACATTATTATTTGTTTGCCAACCAATAGAAACCCGAACTTTTGCGGAACGGTAGCCCTCGGCGGCCACAGTCTCGGCTCACTAATCGTATTCGACATACTGGCCCACCAGCCGGTGGACAACTGCCCCCCACAACCGGCCACACCCGACACCGCAGCCAATACAGACTCAATACACACGCAAACAACACCACCGCTGACTACAAGACCGACGCAAACAGTAGACAACAGTCCCACGGGTGGTCAGACGCTGGGCTTTCCAGCCATAAACTACCCGACCCTCGCGTTCAAGCCGTCAGCCCTGTTCGCCATGGGCTCACCGCTGCCCATGTTTCTCACCGTACGTGGCGTACACTGCCTGTCGCCCGACTACAGGCTGCCCACCTGTCCGGCCGTCTACAACATCTTCC